TTTTGAAAAGTTTAAATTTTGTTGAAATTTTTGGTCGTTACATGATCTAATTCAACTCTTGTAGCAAAATGATTCAAATTTTACAAATAATTAGTTTTTCACAAAATCAAGTAATTATCTTAAAATTTTGGCAATCATCATGTTATTGGATGTGGATAATCATTACCATGTATATACAAAATAAAACTTTATGAACCAAAACATTTTGTGGTAATGATCCTAATCCAAAATAGACCAAAAACCTGAAAATCCTGCCAACTGATCATCCAACTCGTCGAGCCAAGCTATGGACTCATCCAGTTTATGACCAAAAGCATCCAACTCGTCGAGTCCAATAGTGGACTCGTCGAGTTCATGCTGACAGAAACAGTTTTTTCATTTTTCTTCAACTTTGAACAATTAGCTGTGCATGAATATAACAGAAAACTACCCATGTCTCTGATACCAATGTTGGGTTTTGTGTACTATAACACTCCTATGGCGCACATACAAACCTAATAGTTGTGGATCTAAGTTTTCTCTAATTATACATGCGATAAAATTTCCAAAGCATGAAGGCTACAACTACTATACAATTTGACATATGAATCATAAAAGTAAGTTAGAAGATTACCTCTTGTTGTAGCGTGTTGTATTTTGGCCTTTAAGAGCTTAGTGCCTTAAATGTTGCACCTCTAATGGAATCACAAGACACCGTGAACAATTGGAGAATAAAGAGAGAGAAGTTATGAAGGTTAAAATCGTCCATATCTTCAATGTCACTCTTAGGTTCATTTTTGGCTAAAGGGGTTACACATATTTAGTTTGGAATTCCTAAGGTTTAACTTGTAAACCCTATTCCATTTACTTAAGCCTTTATGCAATCCAATAATCCATATTATGGGCCTTATGGAATAACTCTTCATGGACTTCCACATAGAATTAGTCGATCCTAATCAATATAGATCATTGGTCCAAACTATAAATATTACTGATTGACTTAACCAGTCCCCGTTAATTTAATTAGTCTCTCTTGATCAATAAATTAATTCCAAATTAATTTTTGATTAATACTAATTAAATAATATGATTTCTCTATTAATATATTATAGTTATAAAATATTAGTAAATCATAAATAACCTCTTTCTCAAATATCCATCCTATGAGATTGTCTTGGTGAATGCAACCCAAAAGGACCATGCTACTTTCGGATCAAGTACATACTAATTATAGTTATGAGCTTAGACACCTAATATAACACATTTAGATGCAATATTTACAATCAACACCATCAAAATCCTAATTGGAGTTCATACCATTCCCGTTAGTAGACCTCTTTGTCCCATAAGTTGCATTTGTAGTCTAACTTTGAGTACATCTGCATACAAACAGGAAGAAATAACCAAATCAAATTTAAGTATACAGGGATTGATATAAAACAAGTGTAACATGAAATTATTGAAAATTGAATGAAGAAACCTAATTGTTGTGTGATGCCAGTAGTCGCAGCAACAACAACACCACTTGTTCCAAGGTGAGATGCAACTTTAGAGGGCAAAGCATGCCAATTTTGATTGAAAATCACCTGGATATTCTAATTTCTCCTGGATATTCAAAATCACCAATCAGATCCCTACTTTCTCATCAAAATACCATGTTTACAACAATTTCAAATACCAATGTCCTTTTCTAAGCTGATTTTTACTCTGATGAAATCAACCAACATACAAATTCGTTTGTAATGCAAAAACTTAGTTAAATGAACAAAAAGGGAAACCACGACTCGATTTATTATGCTTGGAAAAAACGGATAAAAGGCATAAACAACCAAAATAATTACAAATTTTAACAAAATTGAGAATGTTTAACAAGATGTAATCTTTAATGAAGTATATGTTACAATTTAGCATTATAATTAAAGGGTTATAAGAGAGAAACTGAATCATTTGAGGGGTTATAGAGAGAGGAATCATTGTTGATTCCTTAAGGCATATGTTAATTTTACTTTTACTGTTTGGATTTTCGCTCCCTGCCTTGACCTAGTTATGTCAATTGCAAATTTTGTAATCATTAAAATAATGATCATTTGGTTTATTGATAACCAACAAAACCCATCTGATAAAAGAAAAGAATGACTACAAAACTCGACCAGGGTGAAATTTAAGAAGAAAAGTCCATGAGTGTAACTTGAAGAATACGAAAGACTAAAACTCAATTGTTACAACTGAAAGATAAGATAGTATCTATATGTTAGGCCGTATTTGTATCTATTGAGTTCCATTAGTTGGTTGGTTTAATGAAAAAATAAGATTACAATTCGGTCAAAACAGACCTTAAAGTAACCTTTAACAAATAACATATGCATTTGGTTGATGCATTGTTGTTTTTTCTTATTCACTTTCGATATCAACAATATTCTCAACACTATTCTCTATGAATCTCTATACTTGCACAAACAAAATCTCGGTGCAACGCATTGCACATCTTCGACCATCTGTCTTGTTCCTTGGTATTCCTTTCAATCGAAGTTGAAACTTGAGGGGTTGAGATCGATTGGAGAGGTTCAGAAATAAAGGATTTGTGATCAATTGAAAAAAGAAAGAGGGGCTGAGATCGATTGGAGAGGTTCAGAAAATAGGGAGGTTACCTATGATCGATCTCCAAGAGAGAAGATGATGGGGTGGGTGTCGATCAATGGAGAAATAATATATGCACAGTTCGTTGGTTCGTTCCATTTTTAAGAGTTCGCTGCTAATCTTATATATATATATATATATATATATATATATATATATATATATATATATATATATATATATATATATATATATATATATATATATATATATATATATAGGGACGGGTTATATGGAAAACAAAAAAAACCCCTAAAAATCATAAAAATGCATAAAAAAATATTTGAAGATCACAAATCTTTTATTTAACTTGATATTCTTAAAAATTGATGTTTTTTTTTATAAATTCGCTGAAAAAATTAAAAAATCGATTTTTTTTTGTTTTTTTTTTCAAAATAAAAAATTCAGTGAAATTATATAAAAAAATTTCAATTTTTAAGAAAATAAAGTCAAAAAAAAAAAGATTTGTAGTCTCTAAGTATTTTTTTTTTATCTATTCTTATGATTTTTAAGGTTTTTATTATATATATATATATATATATATATATATATATATATATATATATATATACACACACACACACACACACACACAATCTATTAAATGAAGGTTTTTTTTGCCACAAACCACATTCTCATTTAATTTACCAAATGTCATTTTATACTTATTTTGAATTAATTTCTTTTGTACATATCATTTTATGGGTTTTTTCTATTTAATAAATTCTACATAATACTTTAATATAATAATTACAATAAATGAAGTAATAATGGATTTTTCTTATTATTTTAAAATTTTCAAATTAAAGCTCATTAGTTTATTTTGTGTATTTATTTAAATTAATGAGATAAAAAATCAATTTTAATAATTCATTATTTTTCTTATTTTCTTATAAACCTAAAGTTCTTAAATATTTACATTTATATTTAATTTTTTTAATTAAGTCATGTAATACATGAGTTTTACATCTAATTTTCTAATAAATGAATATATTTATTTTCCAATTGACAAGTGTCATATTATTAGAACTCATCATCTATATTATATGTCACATATCATGCTACTTGTCAACTTATTAATTATCAATTTAAATTCTAAATTTTAAATTTCTCACTCTAATTATATTAAATTAATAAATGATTCTCCAATTTAAATTTCAAAATTTTAATTTTTTCACTCTAATTATATTAAATTAATAACAATAGATTAAAAATTAAAATAAAATTAATATAAATTATAAAGTGATATAACATTATATATTTATCTAAATCAACGATTATAATTTTATATAACAAAAAAATATCTCTTCAATAATAATTTATTTAAATAATTTAACCAAATCAAATTCGATACTTTCTCTTAAGTAATAATTTATTTAATTAATTTTAATTTTTTAACAGGAAAGTTTAATTAATTTTTTTACCGTTGTTCTCTCGGGATATATATATATATATATATATATATATATATATATATATATATATATATATATGTGTGTGTGTGTCTTTACTACTTATAAAAGAAATCTAACTATTTTTATAAATAGATTGAATATAATAATATTATTTTTTTAAGACGTTCAAACTATTAAGCTTGAAGTACAACCCATTTATAATATAATAATATTAAAACATTAACCCTATCATTTATCCCCTAAAAATCTCGTATCAAATTAATAGAAGAATTCATTTGCAAATTGAACACGTCAATCTCAACACTTCAGGCATTTGAAGCGGTCAATGTCAACAATTTATAGAGGATCTCTTCTCTCACATTGGTAACAAGCATCTCATAATATCTATCTTCGTAATCCCTTCAAAGTAAGAAATATACGCAAACTCTCTCGAAGAACCCTAACCAGTAACCAAGACAGTATAACCACCACCACCACAGCCGCTCTGCCTCCTTCCGCCTTCAACCAACCACTAACACGACTACTGCCCTTCCGCTCACACACGACATGAACTTTCTTTTGGAACATAACATTTTTTTAAAAAAATATCGTTGAAAGAAATTATTTGTCACCGCCGCTGTGTGCGGGTAACAGCTAGTATATATATATATATATATATATATATATATATATATATATATATATATATATATATATATATATATATATATATATATATATATATATATATATATATATATATATATATATATATATATATATATAATTGTTTTGGGGTTAAATAAAACATGGCAGAAAAGAGAACAACTACTGGAGTTTTTCTTGGTTGTCTATCATTTGCCAAACATAGTAAAAATAAGGTTTACAAAATTTGAACGTGAACGCAAGGATATTCATTCAGTTAGAGGATCCCGCTATTGTCGCAGATCCATATATAAATACTTGTAAGGTTATAATTCACGAACGCAATTCATATGAACCCTCTCTTCAAATCCAAACCCACCATGACAAACCCTAATCTCTTATCACTTGCCCTCCTTTCATTGCTTTCCTTCATCTCGATATGCAGTGTAAATGCATCGAGAAGATTGGGTATGGTCTGTTGTATATATTTCTGTTTTGTTTGAGTAAAATGTTCAATAATTACGTACCATTAATTTGGTCAAAACAAATGGGTGTCGATGGCTTTAATGCTATGAAAAAAGACGTGAAATGAAATTCCTAAGTTGGTATATGTGTGTGTTTAGAAATTAAGAAGACAGCTAGATATAAAGAAACGAAAAGAACACCCCGGCCACCTGAATAACATTACGTTGTTCTTTCTCTTCCAGAGCTCCATCATCAAATATCACCTGCTTTTTAATTACCAATGGCCTCGCCTTGCCCCAGGCCTTGTTGACAGTTCTTGGAAAATTAACTTTGAAATGACTTCTTATGGTCTTGAAATTCAAATATTTTGTAACAATTTTCTAGAGTATATAAGATTTTTTTAGAAAATGTTTTATATATAAAAATCTTTTGAAACAGCCAAGAAACTAGGTTTGATCGTGTCTGTTATCCATATACTAATTATATGCTGTTTTATATATTTAACGTTTAGTTGTTATCCATATATAGGGTTGAGATCGGGTACAATGTCTACTAGTCTAACATGAAACCCAAACACAATTATGTCTTAAAAATCAAAATGTGTGATGACCGGATATATACGATTTTCTTATTCTTCTTTATAATATACATTTTCTTATACGTCAATATATACACATCTTGTTAGCTGCATGCATGCAAATCTGAAACTGATCGGCCATGCACTTATTAAACAGCGGACGTAGACAAGCAATTCGGGTATGCAGCCGGGGCTCCAAATGAACCAGCGAAATGGGGAAGTCTTAGGGCGGACTGGAAAACTTGTGACATCGGAAAATCTCAGTCTCCTCTTAATATCGACACCAAACAAGCACAAATGCAGCCACCCGACTTGAAAATGGCTTATAAGGACGCACCTGCTAAACTTGTCAATATAGGCTTCTTTCTTAATGTATATAAACTCAGTACTAGCTCTTGTTTACATATTTACATGTTACGATCATCATTATATATTGTTATTGTTTCAAGTTTTCTAAATTTTCAGATAGAATGGCAAGGAGATGCCGGAGGAATATCAATAAATGGCGTAAATTATAATCTAGTTCACTCTCATTGGCATTTTCCCTCTGAGCATACTATTGATGGGAAAAGGTATATGTGTTTTGTAGCATGTTATGCTCACCTTTTTAGAGTTAACGTTTTTTTTTTTTTTTTTTTTTTTTGCACAGAACTCTCCAAAATTTAACCGCTTTAATATGCGTATGCATGCTTTCTTTATATAGGTTTGATGCGGAACTACATTTGGTTCATAGCAACGAAAAGGAAGAACTGGCAGTTATGGCCAGCCTTTACACCATTGGACAACCTGATCCCCTAATTCAAAGCGTATTAGCTCTCTCTCTCTCTCTCTCTCTCTCTCTCTCTCTCTCTCTCTCTCTCTCTCTCTCTCTCTCTCTCTCTCTCTCTCTCTCTCTCTCTCTCTCTCTCTCTATGTATGTATGTATGTGTATGTATGTATGTATACTGAAATCTAAGTATAAAGACAAAATATGATTCAATTCAAACTTATGGTTTAATTAATCGATGCAGCTGGCAGACAAGATGAAGGGGCTTACTGAGACCAAAGGGATTGATGTAGGGACAATAAGTGCAAGTAATATAAAGTGTGGGGGTACAAAGTATTTCAGATATATCGGTTCGCTTACAACTCCTCCATGTACGGAGGGTGTCACTTGGACAATCGCAGAAAAGGCGAAAACAATTTCACAAGACCAAATCCAAATGATTAAAGAAGATCTCGAACGTGTAAGTCTTTCTTTCCATTTTGCATATATATATATATATATATATATATATATATATATATATATATATATATATATATATATATATATATATAGATTTTCTAATATGTGTCATAAGGGCACATATAAAAAGCATTAATGATGATATATATTACCATAATTAATTATAAAATACATTAATTATAAAAAATATTACCATAATTAAATGTGAAGTGCATTAATGATTTCCATAATAAATCTATTTCGAATTTAATATATATAGACAAATTCTAATTAATAAGTATCTTTGACTTAAATATATCTAAAACATGTACATATCGCCAATTTGTATATGTGCAAATAGGTAATGCATGTGATATATTAATTGGGGCATTATAAATAAAAGTTTAGATTTAAATGTTTTTAAGCTTGATTAAGATGTTCTTTTGGGGCTAATCACTAAAAACCAAAAGCAGAAGCAGGTTACGTACGTCATAAATGACCGACTCTTGAACAATATATAGCACTAATAATTACCTAATATTCAAAATGCATTTCCTTCACAAAATTGCTTTATCCATGGTCTCCCACACTAGAAATATCTTTAAAATTCATATTTTTTACACACGAAATTGATGTCAGTTTTGCAAGAAAAGAAATTCATATTCTTGTAGTCGGGAGTGAGGACCATTGATAAAATATTATAAAAGTTCATGACTATAACAACTAGTAAAATTTTATGATTTTAACATGAAAATTGGTTAATTTAGTTAACCCAGGTTTGAATCATTTTTAATAAATGAAGGTTTTTTTTTACACATGTCATTTTCTCCTTCATTTTAACGATTATCATTTTGTGAGAATTTTAGAAATTTTATTTTCCACTTGTTATTTTTTTTGTGATTTCCATTTTCTTAAAATAAAATTCTATAAAATTGTAATGGATTCTATAAGGAAATAAAATCATTCTATTAATTTGGTAATAAATTCTCATAAATACTACTGACGATTTAATTTGTTTTGCAAATTTTCAGAAGATTACATTATGTTATGTAAAGTATTACATTATAAAATATTTCATATTTATATATCGATATTAAAATTTTATTCTTAATAAACTCGTGTAATACACGAGTCTCACACCTAGTTATACATATTTTAACCTTAATTGGGGTAGACTGATGTTAAAAAAAATCATCTGTCATATAGTAAAGTTATAAAGAATCTTTATTTTGACTTTAAATTTGGAAAATGGAATAAACATTTTCTCTCGAATGTGAAAAAATTATATCAATCAAAATTTGATTAACTAGAAATGAAATAAGGTTGTCTTTGACACGTTACAACTAACTTATTTTTTGAGTTATTTTATATTATTATATTTGACAAACAAAAATGTAGCTGATAAATTATTTTTTTTAAACACTAGCTTTTTAAAAACTATTTAAACTAGTTTATAAGGAGTTTTTTTTTAATTTTCGAATATACTTTTAATTAATTATAAAAAACATATTCTTCTAAATATCTTTTATATCTTCCGGCTAGTTTATCAAATAATTTTTTTACCAAATGTCAATTTTTATCAGTTATCTTATAAATTAATAATTAGTTTTCCAGCTAACAACTAATTTTCAGCTATCAACTAGCTTTGTTCAGCTATCCGCTAGCTTTTTAACTAGTCTACCAAACATAACCTAAATATTTAATGATCATTAGGGACGGACAAAAATGTTTTATAATATAATTATAAGAATATAAAATGACTTGTTATTTTTTGTTTCTCTTTTAGGAATTTCAAGAAAATTCAAGGCCAATTCAGTTACGTGGAGAAAGGTCAATTTTGCAATTTGATTTACCTAACGAACAATGAGACGAATGGTCAATTCATGGATAACATTTTATATGTAAAAGTTAGAATTTGTAGAAATATTCATTATGTTTTATTAATTTTACATCTCTACGAAATCCTAGATTATGTTTTTGCTCATTTTTTGTTCTTCGTATTGATTATGATTTACAATACACACACACACACACACACACACACACACACACACACACACATATATATATATATATATATATATATATATATATATATATATATATATATATGAAATATGAGACATTTCTCTTTATCAAACTCCTTATTATCTATATCCTTTATATATATCCTTTTGTTATTTATATTTAATTTATTTAAGTATAAAATGTTGTTTACAAATGTATCCAATATTTGTTTGCAAAGAATTGTTACAGGAGGGTAGAATTTGTCAAGTCTTAAAGATATTTGGATTGCGGCTCACTTCTTCTAAACTTCAGATGGCACACAGGTCTTACATGTATCCAGTTGAGATTAGTAGCATATAATGTAGTTTGTGTGCATATGAGCTCATTTTTCACTGATTACTCACACATACATTCTTTGTTTTCTCTCCAGTTTTAGGGTTTCCTCTTAGGGTTTCGGTCGTTGTTCTTGCATTTGTAATATCTATTCATTCCTTAATTAAACCGAGAGTAGTATAGGTTGAGTGTTGTAATGAGGATTTTATAATGAGTTATTGAGTGTTGTAGTGAGTTTTCAGCTGTAAGTTCCTTCAAAACCAACTAATTCTTACTTGCAATAAAATAATTGTTAATGTTGTCGTAATTTAGTGTTTTATTCATGGTATCACATCGAGGTCCTACTTGTTCCTGATTTCTTATTATTTCGCATCTAGATGTGGATATGTTGGTTTTTTGGTTGATCTAGGGTTTCTGTGTTTTTATAAGTCTCTTGTTCGATTGAAGGTTTTTGTGTCTCCCTTGGTCTATTCTTGATATTGAAGGCTATCAATCATTATGCAATCTTGTTTGTTGACGTTGTCATCTCTAGTAATGCTTTGTCACATTGTTTAGTAGTAAACATCTATGTTAACTTTTGTTACCCTAACAGCCAACGCTAAGTTTCTTCGATCAACGCTAAACCTGTGTAAACTAGTTCTATAAATGGAGGTGATCCATGGTAATTGAATGCATTTCTACTTCAGTGTTAGATCTTGTTGCTCTAATAAGTCTACATTGCTACTTGCAGAGCTTTTAGTTGAATCACTGTAAGTTTTGCATGCTTGTCTTGTGTTTGGATTTATCCTGGGTAGATTCATTTGTGCTTTTCTATGAGTGTTGTTTTTTGTATGTACCTTATGTTGTTAGGTTTCTTTTCTTGTTAATATGACTGGCAGTACTCTTGAAACTGGTGAATCATCTAATAACAATGAAACTATTGATTTTGATGATCCTTTTTATATGCATCCTTCTTACAATATTGTTTCCACTATTATTAGTTTTAAACTTCTTAGAACTAAAAAATTTAGGATATGGGGATGACAAAATCTTTGAAGGCTCGAAATAAAATTGGATTTATTGATGATATTATTATTAAAATGAAGGATAATACTGTTAGATCACTTTAGTGGGATAAAGTAAATGCTATAGTGCTCTTGGATCTTAGGATCTCTATTTGAGTCTAAATGTGTTGGGCATGCTTGTTTTGAATTTGCTCTTGATGTTTGGACTGAACTTTTTGATACTTATAATAAGGTTGATGGTTCGGTTGTCTTTAACTTACATTAGCTTGTTAATTCTCTTACTTAAAGTGGCTTAAGTGTTGCTAATTATTTTAATAAACTTAATTCTCTTTGGAAGGATTTGATGGTCTTACTAGTTAGATTGATTGTACTTGTGAAGCTGCTACTCAGTTTAATAATCATTCAAAGTTAATGAATTTAATGCAGTTTCTCAGTGGTTTATATGACTAAACTCATTTAGTCAAGTTAAGATTCGTATTTTGCTTCTTGAACCTTTGCCTAATGTGAAAACTGCCTTTTCACTTGTTTCTAGAGAAGAATTCTATAATTGTATCATCTAATAGAACTTAATCTTCTAGTTTTTATTGGTAAAGTTAGTGACATTAGGAAATCTAAAGGTAGAAATCAGATTTTTGAATGTAAGGATTGTGGTCTCAAAGGTCATACCTTTGAGAATGAGTCTTCTAACACTTCTACATGCTCTGTGAATAAGGTTGATAAACTCTTTTCTTACTTCTGATCAATATTCTAAAATCATCTCCCTTCTGAATGAGAAACAATTTGTTGAGGAGATGTCCGCTAATTCCAATATGGTAGGAATTTCTTGATTAATGTGTCTCCTACTAATAATAATTGGGTTGTTGATTCATGAGGAAGTCAACATATGACTACTACTAAATCACAGTTAGTTGATATTGGGATATTTCTAAGTTAAATCTTAAAATTGATCATCCAAATGGATTAATTTCAAGACTTAATAAAATTTAAGATATGCACTTGTCTAATTCTATGTCCTTACTTGAGTTACTTGTTGCTCCATATTTTCATGTTAATCTTTTTTCTGATTACAAATTATGTAGGGATAATAGATGTTAGGTTTTTTTTTTATGAAAAGAAGTTTATTGTTAAGGATTCACTGTCCAAGGAGAAAATGGAGATTGGTAATGAGTTTGGATGACTATGTTATCTTAATAATAAAAATAAAGGTAAGTCCTTGTTGTCTAAGTCTGTTACCTTTTTTTTTTTGAAGTTAATTTGATATAGTAGACTTGGACATCCAACTGATCAAGCTTTAAACTATTTAAAAGGTTCATTATTTTTTGGTAACGAATCTATTCCTCCCTATGATGAGGTGTGTAATAAAGCTAAAAAAACTAGAGAGTACTTTCCTTTAAGTGAACACAAAACTAGCTATCTAGGTGAAGTTATTCATGTTGATGTTTGAGTTCCTTACAAAGTTATTGCTTCTCGGGGTTTTAGGTTTTTCTAACTATGGTTGATGATTTTTCAAGGGAAGCTTGGGTATATCCGTTAAAAACCAAAGAAGAAGTGTTAACTTGTTTCCAAAGCTTTTATGTGCTTCATGAGAATTAGTTTAGTATTACTTGTGTACATCTGATAATAGAACTGGGTTTGTTAATATTATAATGAAAACCTTTTTTGAAAGCAAATGAATTGTTCATCAAACTACTTTTGTCCATACACCACAACATAATGGTGTGGTTGAAAGAAAACATAGACATCTTCTGAATGTTTCAAGATCTTTATTATTTCAATCAGGGTTACCTATAAAGTTTTGGGGTTATGTTGTTCTTACTGATGTGTTTTTAGTTAACAGAATTCCCTCTTCTGTTCTTAAAGTGAACTCACCTTTTGAACTGGTTTATAAACATTAACTTTTTTTTATAATATTATGGTGTTTGGTTTTTTAAGCTTTGCTACTAAACTTAAAGTTTCTGATAAATTTTCTAATAGGTCTGAGAAGTGTGTATTAGTTGGTTATTCCATTGAGAAAAAGGATATAATGGTTATAGTCTTGATGATAGAATTTCTTTCTTTTCCAAAGATGTGAAATTATATGAATCTGTTTTTCCATACAAATGGTTTCCAAGTCTGATGGTATTTTTCTTGATGAAACTTTGTTTGATTGTTCTGTACCTTGGGATCCCTTTTCCTATGACGAGTTGATTGTGTCTGATACAATGAATGTTAATCATTTCATGAGAAGTTCTGAAAGTAGCAATCAAGGTGGTATTGTTGGTGCAAATCATTCTTTGAAAGCAACTGATTATGACTATGATGGTACTTGTTCTTTGGGTGTTATCTAGATCAAGTCTGGAAGGTATTCTAGATGTTATGGTAAGTACATTGCAGTCTGAGTTGGCTGCTTCAGAACTTCCCAATATTTCTGAGGAAAATATCTTTATTACATCTAATCTTCTTGAACATCATTCTATAGTAAATAGGAGCTCTAGTCATTAATTTAAATTGATGGGTATTGAGCATAACAAAAAAAAATTATGTGTGCATGCAACCCTAAATAAATTGATCTATATTTTCTCTAATTGAACAACAAAGTAGAAACCCTAATACATTAGTATATTGTAATGCCCCAAATTTCAAATACCAAAATAACTTAACATAGTCCCAAAACTTCCAAAAATCAACATTCAAATACTAATGTAATTATTAATAATAATAATGGAAGCAAATAGAAATTTAAGTAAACACTTGGCACGCTACGTCTTCTTCAAAACTTGTCGCCTTCTTCAAGTATGAACTTTATCCTTTCCATTTCCGCTGCCACTTGCTACGTTATTTCCTGGGTTGCGTGCATTTAAAGATTTTAATGGGTAAGCCTAGGGCCTAGTGAGTTCGTGGTTTTCATGCATATTGACGTCAATAAAATAAAAATAATGCAACAATTTATCAATATAAATCTTTTCATTTCTTTCCACCCTTGATGACACATTATGGAACTACTGTCATTTCCAGGGACCGAGTCCCTCCGCCGGGCACAGAAAATATGCTTACGGCTAGATAAACAGAGCGTAAGCTCTCCGCCGCATACTAACACCATGTACGACGACTAATAATAAGACCGTGTAAATACACATGTTCCCTATATGTCACCCACCATTTTCACCATTTTATATGAAATAATTCACAAAATTTCACACAAATATTCATAGCAATAACAACGGTAACATATAATTGCAAATAATTTAAAATCAACTTTTCATGCAAGCAACCACAAAATTCACACGAAACTCACTTTGTTAGCGTTTAGGACTTAACCAGAGCTTGTCACGCTACCTGCACCCTACATTCCACCAATAATTTTCCTAAGATAACAATCCTAGAAAAACATCATATGCGATCATTTTGGTTCAATTGTCTACGTGTCTCATCCAACCAACTAATAGTTATAATTTTTTATTATATATATTGCAATACTTTTTTTTAAATAATAATAATAATGCTTTAATATGAAATAGAAAATAACTCCAAACTAAACTAAAATATTTTTACGGCACCATTCGGCAACTTCCAAAAAATATTTTTGACTATGCAGTATAAAGGTACATAGGATAAAAAAATCGAGATGCATTCATTTCCATAACTTCAATTTAATCAGTAATTTGTATAACTCATGGGGTAGATCTAAAATTCGTGTTTTCTTTGATGATAGCCAAAATTAAATAGAACTGAAAGTTAAGGGTTAAAAATGTAACAATTGATATAATAAAACGTCAATAAAGGTATGAAGAGTGACCTTCAACCATCCACCCATACTGTCCATTTGACTAATAAAGCATATTTGACTTTCTGTAAACGGATTGTACCAAGACCCGTAGTACTTCTTCTTTACCCGAAAAAACATTTTATTTTCTATCATTTTTTTAAATATACTGAAGTTTGATTTTTCTCAAAACGAAATCAAATAATTTAATAAAAACCACCATTATTTATCTCCAATTGTGGCTAACCATAACCCATAAACAATTATCTAATTTTCGCTCCATAACCCAGTTGATTAAACAAATTATTGCAAAAAAACGTTCCTTATATATATATATATATATATATATATATATATATATATATATATATATATTTATTTGACACCGATTGGAACGAATTGAGACACTGAGTTGAACCAAAATATTTTTAACACGCATATAAATATATCTAAGCAACTAATCAGGCTTAAATTGAGTGTCCATACCTTAATTTCAAGAAACACTCCGGAAATCTTCAAGAAATTTTACACCCGATTTCTCCGTTGATTCTTCGTCTTTTTTCACAATTCCAGTGGGGTTTCCACTTGATTTTTCATGCTATATATAATGCCTAAGTCTATAACCGACGAAACCCTTTCATTTGCTCGTATTTAACTAGCCTAATCAAGGTCACGGTTTTGATCATTAAGCCTCATAATTTGTATATAATTAACCCATTAATTGTGAACTAATCCTCTTTCTTTTAAATTGATATAATCAAATTATATATATTACATATATTTTTTTGACACAAATTATTACAAACTTCCCCCCTTATAAAAATTCCGTCATCGGAATTTTGAACTAATCAAATAAATGAGGGTATTTAGTCATCATATGTCGCTCGGTCTCCCATGTTGCATCTGAACCTTTATGATACTTCCACTGAACTTTCACTAGAGGTATCTCCACGTTCCTTAACTTTCTGACCTTTCAATCTATAATTGCAACAGGTTCTTCTGTATATCGTAGCTTCTCATCAACCTTAATTTCTTGAAGTGGCACTTCCATGGCGGCATCTGCCAGACACTTCTTTAGATTAGAGACATGGAACGTGCTATGAATGCCATGCATTTCTCCTGGTAGCTCTAATCGATAGGCCACCTCTCCAACTCGTTCCTTAATTATAAAGGGTCCAATGTAGCGAGGACTTAACTTCCCCTGCTTACCAAAACACACAACGCCCTTCTATGGGGACACCTTTAGCATAACTTTATCACCAACCTGAAACACTATTGGCTTTCTCCGCTTATCTGCATAACTTTTCTGCTGATCCTGAGCAACCTTAATGTTATCCCTAATCATCTGGATTTTTTCGGTAGTTTGCTGAACAAGTTTAGGTCCAACCAACTGTTTCTCCCCCACCTCATTCCAACACAATGGAGTTCTACACTTCCTGCCATATAAAGCCTCATATGGTGCGACTTTTATACTTGCATGATAGCTATTGTTGTAGGCAAACTCAATTAACGGCAAATGAGTTTCCCATGACCCTCCAAAATCAATAACACAAGACCTTAACATATCTTCCAAGGTTTGTATTGTCCGTTCACTTTCCCCATCTGTTTGCGGGTGATATGTCGTGCTTAATTTTACTCGAGTACCCATTTCTCGTTGGAAGCTACCCCAAAATGTTGATGTAAAACGACTATCCCGATCCGAAATAATAGACAGTGGAACTCCATGCAGTTTTACTATCTCGTCAACGTACAATTTAGCTAACCTTTCCAACGGGTATGTCTCCTTAATCGGAAGGAAGTGCGCCGATTTAGTTAATCTATCCACAACTACCCAAATCGCGTCATAGCCTTTCGGTGTCCTGCTTTGATTGTTGTTATCCTTTTTATCCGTCGACCGATTGTCTGTTATCCTGCTTTGATTGTTGTTACCTTTACTCTGGGGACATTCCGACTTAATGTAATTAGGGGAACCACACCCGTAACATACTCTTCCTGTCTTACACTCTGTGGCTATGTGACCTGGCTTCCCACACTTGTAGCAAACTTTCTGATTCATGTTACACTCCCCCTTATGATGACGGTTGCATTTCGGACATTGCTTTATTCCAGAGCTTTGATCAACCTTACGTTCTTGCCCTGAAGTCTTGCCTTTCTTCGAATCATTATTCGTACCATCCCATTTTCTTTTCCCCAAAGCCCTGTCTTCACCTTGATGATTCTTCTCACGTTCACGACCTTCTGCAGCATCAACAACAGATTGGAAAGTACCTGGTTTTTGAATTTGCACAAATTCACGGATAGCTGTTCTCAATCCCCATATATAGCATTCCACCCTTCTTTCTTCTGTAGAAACGCAAAATTCAACAAACCTAGCTTTCTCCGTGAACTTAGTGGTGTACTCTCGCACAGTCATATTCCCCTGTTCCAACCTCAAGAATTCTTCCTCCAACTGTTTAACCGTTGTACGAGGGCAAAACTTTTCTTTAAAAATTCTTAAGAACTCATCCCATGACATATTCTTGGCCGCCTCACGCCCCCTAACCTCCTTCACCATGCCCCACCAATGTATTGCCTCCCCTTTAAGCACTATCGCAGCATAGATCACCTTGTCCTTATCCGCACACTTACTAGTATCAAACGTTCCCTCAATCTCCATTACCCATGTTGATAACAAAATGGGATCAATTTCTCCGTTAAAAATGGGTGGCCTGCAGTTCATGAATATCTTGTAACTACAACCCCGGCGATCGTGGTTGCCATGATGCCTTGTGGGTTGTGCAATACTTGGTTCACGACTCATATTTTGTGTACTGTACTCGAAGTCCTCTTCACATCCACCCAAGTTACCTTCATACTCACCCATTATTGCTTCTCGTTCCTGAGCAACTACATCTAGTAAGGTGTCTCGAATTGCTCGAGCAATCTCATCAACCAACTCTTCTCTAGTGATCGTGTTTGCCGCACGACCCCTTCCACGACCTCGACCTCAACCATGGTGGGATCCGGAGCTACCATGGGCCGATGGTATAGGTATCGGTGCTGTAATAGCTCCTCGACCTCTTCCTCTACCCCTACCTCTTCATTGGCCCCGTCCACGACTAGCGTTTAGGTTCAGTGGGGTTTCTGGAACATCTCCTGGTGCTCTAACATTAGCTCCAATTGGGATGCGTTCTTCCTCCGGAGTGACCCTAGTGAACCTCCCAGATCTTCGTGAAGACATATCAACTACATATTTATGTTTATAACACAATAAGTATAACAAACATAAATTTTATTCCAAATTATTCAAACTTCAAAAATAGACATATGTCTTGTTCACATCAAGTCACTCAAGCCAATAACCAAGAGAAATAAAAAAAAAAAAAGGACAAATCATTGCACTCCTACTTTCTAATTTTTAAAAACGATGTCATCATATTTCAATATTCTCTTTCCCTCCTTCAAGTACTTCCTTATCTTTTTAGCTTTTCAATCTTTGGGACCACTTTGAATGACCAGCACCTCGGCCTGAGGTGGTTCTCTTCCAACCACCTTATATAGGAATCCGTAAGTCGCGGCCTTGGCTTGTTTTGCCCGAGCCACAAACCCTTCCCACAACTTAGTAATAGTGGGTTTCCTTAGCTCCAACACCTCCTGTTCTAACCTTCGTATCTTGCGTTTACTTTTCTCAGCAGCATCAACCCTTATTTGGTTCTCCTGTACGAGCCTTGATCTATGTTCAACTATCTCTTCAGTCTTTCTTTTCAAACTGTGTATCTCGAGTTGTACCTGTGGCATTTCATCTTTATAAAGTCGCTGCTAATAGGTACCAAGACTAGTTGGCGTGTACTCCACATAGGGCATATGGAACGTTTCGTACCTTTGTTCCACATGGTACTCCACGTGATTTCCCTCGGGTTCCTCCTCGGGGTCTTCTTCGGGTTCCTCATCAGGGTCTTCTTTGGGCTCCTCCTCTGGATCTTCTTCAGGCTCCACCTCGGATTCCACATCCTCGTCTTGTTCATCCCGTTCAGAGAGGCTGAGTGGAGTCGTTGGTTCCAGACTGCCTTCCGAGTCAGAGAGCTCTAACTCGGCCTTCAACTTCTCGTGGGGAAGTAACCCACTAGTACCCTCAACTGACACCCCACCATCGACGATTGCCTTTCCATGATCCATAGTACCTACAAACGAGACGCATTCCAGATTAGGCGACGTACCGCTCCTCACATTTAAGCTTAGGCGTTTAAACAACGACTAATCTGCTTAAACTAGGCTCTGATACCAACTTGTAACGCCCCAAATTTCAAATACCAAAATAACTTAACATAGTCCCAAAACTTCCAAAAATCAACATTCAAATACTAATATAATTATTAATAATAATAGCGGAAGCAAATAGAAATTTAAGTAAACACTTGGCGTGCTACGTCTTCTTTAAAACTTGTCGCCTTCTTCAAGTCTGAACTTTATCCTTTCCATTTCCGCTGCCACTTGCTATGTTATTTCCTAGGTTGCGTGCATTTAAAGATTCTAATGGGTAAGCCTATAGCCTAGTGAGTTCGTGGTTTTCATGCATATTGACGTCAATAAAATAAAAATAATGCAACAATTTATCAATATAAATCTTTTCATTTCTTTCCACCCTTGATGACACATTAGGGAACTACTGTCATTTCCAGGGAACGAGTCCCTCAGGCGGGCACAACAAATATGCTTACGGCTAGATAAACGGAGCGTAAGCTCTCCACCGCATACTAACACTCTGTACGACGACTAATAATAAGACCGTGTAAATACACCTGTTCCCTATATGTCACCCACCATTTTCACCCTTTTATATGAAATAATTCACAAAATTTCACACAAATATTCATAGCAATAACAACGGTAACATATAATTGCAAATAATTTAGAGTCAACTTTTCATGCAAGCAACCACAAAATTCACACGAAACTCACCTTGTTGGCGTTTAGGACTTAACCAGAGCTTGTCACGCTACCCGCACCCTACATTCCACCAATAATTTTCCTAAGATAACAATCCTAGAAAAACATCATATGCGATCATTTTGGTTCAATTGTCTACGTGTCTCATCCAACCAACTAATAGTTATAATTTTTTATTATATATATTGCAATACTTTTTTTAAAATAATAATAATAATACTTTAATATGAAATAGAAAATAACTTCAAACTAAACTAAAATATTTTTATGGCACCACTCGGCAACTTCCAAAAAATATTTTTAACTATGCAGTATAAAGGTATATAGGATAAAAAAATCGAGATGCATTCATTTCCATAACTTCAATTTAATTAGGAATTTGTATAACTCATGGGGTAGATCTAAAATTCGTGTTTTCTTTGATGATAGCCAAAATTAAATAAAACTGAAAGTTAAGGGTTAAAACTGTAACAATTGATATAATAAATCAATAGATGTATGAACAGTAACCTTCAACCATCCACCCATATTGCCCATTTGACTAATAAAGCATATTTGACTTTCAGTAAACGGAATGTACCAAGACCCGTAGTGCTTCTTCTTCACCCGAAAAAACATTTTATTTTTTGCCATTTTTTTAGATATACTGAAGTTTGATTTTTCTCAAAACGAAATGAAATAATTTAATAAAAACCACCATTATTTATCTCCAATTGTGGCTAACCATAACCTATAAACTATTATCTAATTTTCGCTCCATAACCCAGTTGATTAAACAAATTATTGCACAAAAACGTTCCTTATATTTTTTGTTTATTTGACACCGATTGGAACGAATTGAGACACTGAGTTGAACCAAAATATTTTTAACACGCATATAAATCTATCTAAGCAACTAATCAAGCTTAAATTGAGTGCCCATACCTTAATTTCAAGAAACACTCCGGAAATCTTCAAGAAATTCCACACTCGATTTTGTCATTTGATTCTTCGTCTTTTTTCACAATTCCAGTGGGGTTTCCACTTAATTTTTCATGCTATATATAATGCCTAAGTCTATAACCGGCAAAACCCTTTCATTTGCTCGTATTTAACTAGCCTAATCAAGGTCACGGTTTTGATCATTAAGCATCATAATTTGTATATAATTAACCCATTAATTGTGAACTAATCCTCTTTCTTTTAAATTGACATAATCAGATTATATATATTACATATATGTTTTTGACACAAGTTATTACATATATAATCAAAATACACAATTAGGGCTAAGAAAAATCATACCTTAATTGTTATGCAGTAATAACAATGAAAACCTTATGTTGTTGAAGCCTTGAGAGCAAGCGCCATAAATGGCACGCTTATAATGATTCACACCCAACACTAGTAAAAGAAAGTTGATGAAGAAGGAGGAGTGAGGATGAAACTTTTGGCCTAACCCTCTAGAGAATCATTTGGCTGAAAATCATAGGGTTATGCCTTATTTATAGTGCAGTCAGGAAACCCTGGATAAGCCCAAATCCAAGATTATCTTAAATCGAGTAATTATCCACTTTCCTCATTATCCATTTAGGGATTTTTCTAGAACCCTTAAGCCTTAAGACCGTCAATGGCTCTATGGAGGGTTATATATTGTCTCTTGCTCAACTATTGAACAATTACAATTCAATCGTTACATTATTAATTAATTCCTTTAACCCCCACATCAATTCCAAGTAATTTCTGATAAAATATTAATTAAATATTACTATTTCTAATTAATATATTATTCTCATAATATATTAAAAAAATATTTTTTTCAATTTATCAATCAAATAATAAATTCAACCTCTCTCTCTCTCTCTCTCTCTCTCTCTAAAAGTCATCCTATCCAGTTGCTAGTTTTGAGGGCAACCCAAAAGGACTGTGCTACTATCAATTCAAGTATATACCAATTATAGTTATGATATTAGACACCTAATCTAATAGTCTTCTACTTGGATAAGTCTAATAAATATAGCTATCAGTATAACTTTTAAATTAATCAGCAAATTATAGCTCTCAAAGCTGCTATCGAACTCTAACACAGTCAGTTATGTGTCCTAAGTAAGTGATCAAGTATTCCTCCTTTCTACAAGATATCGTATAGACATGAGACATGGATTATAATCAATCTCGCTATCAAAGATTTGTTTCCCAATTTTTGATTTATGACGACTAAAATTAGACTACCAATTAAACACATCAATTCAGTCCAGGCTTGGCCAAACACTTTAGATGTCGATATGAAATCATTGAGGGGCCCACAAGTATCACTTTTCCCGTTAGGGAAAAAGGAACGGATAAACTTCGACTTATATGTTTGCACTATTTACTCATCAAATCACAAACAACAATACGTTTTATAACATCAAGTTACTGATGTGTTTACGTATTATCAATGCACACCTGACTTGTAAACAATAAATTATATATCTCCATTTCAAGAATATAATATATTATCGTCTCAGAATTACTCGTGATAAAATCCATGAAGTAATTCTCCATGCGTGGGTTAATCCAATACTCAAAATCCCCATTTCCAAGTACTCATGAACATTGCAGCAAACAATTGCTATGTCTAATCCCTATAGATAATCTACAATTCTATTTATGATAGTCTTAATTTGCTACATACTTCCAAAAGTACGAGCGAATGTGGATGTTTGAATAATTCAATTTCGGGAAGTAAAACATGCAAAGTGAAACACAATAATAACCTAACTAACTATGGTCTCAAAACTATTGAATATAAATAAAACTCTTATTATTTAATCACCATATTAATTAGACTATATTCATTGTATAATGTTTCGAGTAATCAACTAAACACTTGAATTAAACATCAATCATGCCATGTTATAAACATGCATACTATGTCTCTTAATGGTCCTTCCTTTGTGGACAGATTGATTGGACACTAATTCAATGATGCTCATTTCATAAATCTAAATTCTTGTCACTACTTAGAATGTGTTAGAGTTCAACCTTAAATACAATGACCTTTTGTAATGTTGAGGCTTCACAGTCACAGAGACTTTGCCAATGATATTACAAAATTTTCCATTGGACCTTTTGTTACTTAAAAAAATATATGGTAACGAAGTCTCAAATTCGAGGTACACACCTTGAACACCTTCCTTGCATTAAAGTTTCTAACTCACGTGTAGATTTCAATAATCAATTCCCTCTATCAAAACATTTCCATATTCCCATATGGCCATCAATTTTGATCAAGAATCATCTTAATAAAAAAACATGTCACGATGGTCATTCCAACCAATATGATATTTCCAACTGTCCAGAAGCAATCAATGCTTTGGTATAACCTCAGAATGTTCTTGACAGTTGTTCAACTTTAGTCACACAAAGTTCTAGTCCTTTTTCCCTCTCAATGCCCAAGGCATTTGGAAAAATCATAATAAGTGAATATTATAGCATATGTAATAAAACCTATATCCAAATCATATAGGACTTGATTCATAATATCTAACATAGAGACCTGATATTTGTTCGGTCTCTTGCTACAATATTTCTATATATCGAATTTCCTATGTTGAATGATTTCAACACGATATTAATATATTTCCAAGACTAAATTTCATTAAAACCTTCAATCTAAACTTTTAGATTTGAAATGAAGTATGAATGCCCTCTCCCTTAAATCTTTCTATAGTAAAACAATTTCCAGACTTCGCAACTTGCAAACTGAAAACTTTGTTTTCTATAAATAGTATTGCCAACTTGCAATACTTAGCATAAAAAGTATGCTTCCATTCACATAAAAATTATGCTCTCATTTGCATCACAATTATGCTCCCACTAGCTTTGAAAAGTACCCAGAAATCAATTGGACTTCTAGAAATCAAAATTTTTTAACTTCCTTACTAAAGTGCATTTTCCTGATACATGATGCTTTGATAAGTCTTCATCTAAACTTCTCAAGCTTATACACCCTCATCAGATAGCACATGTGTGTGTTTAAATCCTTTCAGAATTTATAGTTATAAGTCCTGAAAGTTCAAATTATTCCATGCCATTTCTCACAATTTGAACTATGAAAATGGATGTCGTAATCATATTACAACTTTGAGAATACAAGTATTACAACCACTAACCATAATGAAATTTATCAAATCATTAAAATCTACTAGCAAAAGTGTTTCCGCATAATCATTTTCATGAATTAGAGCGAAACCTTTTGCCACCTA